ATTTATCTCAAGTAGATACACTCTTGGAGAGAACAATCATGGGAGAAAGAAGGGCTGCTTATGCACAGGAGACGGTTCAGGGGGCAGGAGTGCATGGAGCGATGAACACTGGGAAGAGGTAACTATGGGGAGGAAGTGGGAGGGGAGGTATTGCATTGTGGTAAGCTGTGGTCAGTGTCATGAGACAAAGTGTATGTGAACTGCTGTGTGGAAAGTGAATCTGCTCTGTAAATCTTCACCCAAATCACAATTAAAAAAAAAAAAACAAACACACATCCCAATTCTTTTCAGAAAGTTTTAACAGGTATTAAGTAGAGAGTACTTGGATTTTAAACAAATAGATCTGTTTGATATGTGTCTTATAAAAGGCATGAGAGCACAGAAATTCTAATTTAATTGCTGGCTTAATCAAATACTTGCTTTATTTTTGTCATCTTTGATGTATAATAGAATGTACCTCACAGAGTCATTGTGAAGACTAGCCAAGATAATAACCTGCTGAGTGTGATAACTGACAAGTTCTCAGAGAAATATTTAATTAGATTTTACATATTGTTTGCAAATCAGCATCACGACAAAGATTAAAATAACTGATTGATGAACTTAAATAAAATGTCAGTGTTCAAAATCACATCATTAAATCAAGTTAACCACCATTTACTGAGTGTAAAAAAGCCTTTAGCTTCAGTGAGCCAGGAGCAAGAGGCAGAGCTGTAGCCCAAGGTTGAGGGGCTTTCATCTAGACCTTAAAGCCTGGCACTTCTAGACTCCAAAAATTTTAAGAATAAACTCCTGTTTTTTAAAGCCATTCCACTTGTGGTATTTTCTGTTAGAGCAGTACTAGGTAACCAAAACATTAACCTTTACCTTAACTTCTTCATCTATCCAATACTTATCTTAATTTCATGAGACTACCAAAAATAATCTGAGAATCCAAAAAAGTACTTCATAATAGTAAAGGGCTGGTAGCTGCATAAATCTGTACATGGGACAAAACTGTAGAGAATGAGACACATACAAAGGAATGCATGGAGAATGATGGAGCTAATCAAGGTACACAGTCTAGTAAACAGTGTTGTACCCATGTCCACTTGTAGGTACAATACAATACTGTATTACTGTCAGATATGATATCACCACTGGGCAGCTCTGGGGAAGAGCTACAAGGGACTCTACTATGTTTGTGATTTCCTACAAATCTATAATTATTTCAAAATAAGAAGTTTAAAAAATAATAAGGGCTAAGCACATATAATCTACTGTGATAATCAACATCAATAATGTAAGTACAATAAAATATAAGGCATTATATTTCAGTATAGCATAATACTGTATATATTACAATCTTTATATATTTTTTAAAGTATCAGGAATATTAATCAGTCTTTGGAGGAGAAATACCCAGTTTCTGTCAAAGAGCTAAACTAAGAAATTTCATTCACTCTTGATACTTTATTTTACATCCAAATAAATAATGACTTAAAAAATATTTCCAGCCCTCTGGGTATATTAGCAGTGGCCCTACTGCTGAACTGATAGTCCTCTGATCCCTCCAGAAAACTATTTTATATAAACAACGATTTAAGTGGCTTGCACTTTAAAGATAACAACGACATTTTACACATTCTTTCATTCTGACCACACTATTGAACAAGAAAAATAGATTTTACTCTCTGATTTTAAAGATGGAGATACTGTGGTGCAGAGCATTAAGTGACCTGACAAGGACACAGGAGTTCAGAATTATGTTCTAGATGACTCTGAGTCAGTCTTGCCACATGGAAAGAAGGCATAGAACCAGCAAATGAAAGAGCTAGAACCGGGACAAGATCTTTTAACCAAATCCACTGTTACGACAATCAACACCTTATTTATCATACAGTATCACCTCAACCATTTTGCCTTAAATATAACTGCTAAATAGAGACTTGTCTATTAATAGAAAATGTGACCACTCAGAGACTGACCTGGGCCATAGCTTGTAAGGGGGTGATCAAGCTGCTGTGTTTAATCTGAATGTCAGGAAGTTCTCCCTGGCGGTAACTTCTGTAAAGAATGACTTGGGCATCCTGCTTCATTTTTAACTCAGTTTTGATCTCCTGCAAAAATCAGAATAAAACAGGAAAATCAGAATTTTTATTTCAGAAAATCAGTACTGCACAAGGTACAAAACTGTCAGTAACCATCTTTTAACATAAAAGGTTATCAGAAAAATTACAATTTCTTTTTAGGCCAAGCAATAATCATTTTATTGGAAATGGCTCAGTTGCTATGTTAGCAATCACTTGGAAAAGATACATCCAAGCGAAAAACTACTATTGCAGATGAACAGTGAAAAAGTTATTTAAATGCTTATTTCAAAGTAATCTGAATAGTCATAAAATGGCAGAACTTGATTTGGATTTGTCAGAAATACTAGTCAGAAGGCTGTGGGCCCAGCGAGCTCTGTCCTATGCTCTCCGCCCTCATGGGTTGGAATGCCTTCTCTGGCTTTTTACTATCAGTTAGTGCCCATCAAAAATATAATCTCTTGCCAGATGCTTCTGTTCTGCTTTTTCCATGTAAGTCTTCCCCAGAGGTACTCCTTGCTGACTTATTCCCAAAACCACACATGCTAAGGTCTGAAACAATGGGTCTTGTCTGACCTAGGTCTACACTTCCAGCACATGAAACAGTACCTGGCACAAACAACAATCCTCCAAAACTATGGTATTTTTTGTACAATAGGCCACAAGTGACTGCAATGAGAGGCCGCACATACATATCAAGCATAATCCCCCCTCAGCAAACCCTTCTCAGCTAGGGAGCTTCAAGGCTACATGCCCTGCTTCATGTTGTACAAAACACCTTGCTGCAATCTCCATCCAGCAGTCTTCATTAAAATCCTATTGTCATCAAGTTGATTCTGACTCACAGCGACTGTACACGACAGAATACAACATAGAGTTTCCTAGGCTATGATCTTTATGGAGACAGACGGCCACAGTTTTGTCCTACAAAGCAGCTGGTGGGTTTGAAATGCTGACCTTTTGGTTAGCAGCTGAGTACTTAGTCACTGTATCACCAGTGCTCCTTTTTCTGCTGAGTAGACAGTGCTACTCCCTTCAGTTTAATCAGGAGCCCATAATGTCTCAGCAGGCAGGCAGAGCACTACCAGGGCAGGGCAGTGTGAGATGGTAAACTGGGCCCTCTGGGACCCTCCAACTCTGTACCCTTGTCTTCAAAACAAGAGTGGTAGTTAGAGAGACAGGAGTAAGATGAAAAGTTCATTCTTTCTCCACAAAAAACACACTGGAAAGTTTCAACCATTTCATACTTATATTTCAAAGTTAATTAAATTGCCAAGGATTTAAACCGAATTAGAACAATGTCAGTGTTTTCTCCATAATCCATCCTCTCTTTTTTTGCAAACTATGTAATTACTGATTTATAAGCAAAATTGAAGGTAGGGCTAAACAAGTTCTTTCATTACTTCATTCTGAAAAAGCATTTCATATTTCATGAAACAGGTCACCTCTCCCTCTGTACCCAGGTGTCTCCAGAAGAGCAGCTGGTTGTAACAGGGTCTCATCCCATTACCACAGCAGTGGCCCATGACCCAGGAAGGTTCAATGAGTGCCCCTCAAGGCCCTGATCTGAGACAGAGAGTGAGGCCAATGCTTTCAATAATTCTGCCAAGATGATTTGCTAGGCCACAATCTTGCAAAGGGATTGGACAGTTTACTGTGCAAAAAAAAAAAGGCACATAAAAACTCTTACAAGATTGGTCAATTAATATGCAAATTAAATTGAAGGTGTAAGATGTAAACTTCTTTAATTAGGAGTGGCTTCTTCCTCCACATTGAGAAAGCCAGCGCATGGAAAAGAATGGGTCTGAGTTGTAGGGAGAGGTGGAGCTAAGAGGGAGAGAAGAGGATCCTGTCACTGGTGAGCCAAGCTCCCTACAGATGCAAGTAGGTGACTCGCCAAGCCCACTCCAAGGTTGTACCTCAATCTCAGAGATGTCAGAGGAGATTGTGGTTTATAACTCATCTCACTTCATATAGTGCTGCTCTGTGACTGTGCATGTGCACCTACATGAACCAGCACCTGAAGTGGTGTTTATTTTCTAAAGAGCATGTATTCTGTGACATGAAACAGAAATTTCCAACCAATCATATGCCTGAAAATGATACACACCTTCTCTCGTTTCTGCTCAGCAATACCTTTTCTGGCATAAATCAAACTGAGCTTTGCTTGGTCCTTTAAAAATCGTCTACGTAATCTTAGTATTTCTGCCCCATCATCTGTGCCTGAAGGAGATAAAGTAGGTCCAGTTAGATATCGGCAGTTTAACAATGCAGTCACACTTACCTCCTACCCAGAAGCCCCAACATTGAAAGGGAGGTTGCTTGATGTCTTAGTTATACTTAGATAATGATGCTGTAACAGAAATACTACAAGTGGGTGCCTTTGAAGAACAGAAATTTATTTTCTCAAAATTCAAGGGTCTAAGAAGTTCAAATTCAGAATGTGCCTCTAGGAGATGATGCTTCTTTATCTATTTGGGGCAAAGCTTGGAAATCCTTCTGTTTCTGTTCTTATCAAGCAGTGTTTGTCCTCCTCATATCTGTGTTTATTATAATTTTCTCATAACTCAGATGTGATTAGGTTTAAGGATCCACCGTACACTGTTATGACTTCAACTGCTGATACATTTCATTAGGTTACATTATGAAAGGGAATTTACCCAAATTATTAATTACATGATTAAATCATGACATTATACAGCCAGGATTTTAATACATATATATATTTTTTTTTATTAGGATTTGGGTGAAGATTTACAGAGTAAATTCACTTTTCATACAGCAGTTCACATATAC